TACTTTGATCTAAAACTCCAAGAAACCCACTTTCTAAGCACTGCCTGCTTCCCTGTGACTTTAAGCAGGGCAACAACACATATCTCCAGGTGAGAATCCAGTGGTGCAGGACATTATGCTCAGGAGCGGTAAAATAATGTATTCACTCTGTAAGACATTTGCAATAATGGTTAGTAATCCATAGCGATTGCTACATGAATGAAGTCTTGAGGACTGGACCATAATCTGCTTCATTGATCCTTCAGCAGTGAAAGCTGGGAAAAGCATCTGCCATTTTATTGTCAATGGAAGGAACGTCCAGAACTGCAGCATCTTCATTTCAGGGGTACAGAGGTTTGTGATGTGAGTGATGTGATGAGAGCTCCCATCCTTTGGAGCCAACACACACAAAAAAAACTACTAGGGCAGAAACAATGTAGCTCCCATTTCACAGCCCTGCAGGGTGTTTTTATGTAATTCCAATGAAGTTCTATTGGTTTTTGCTGAGGCCTGGCTGGGACCTGTCTTGCTCATGGGGCAGCTGCCAGCCAGCCCTTTGTTGGGCAAGGATTCCCTGCCTAGCTGGGGGCTTTCTAGCAGCTGTTTCACATGTGGGACAGCTGCCAGCATTCCCCTACCTGAGCTGGGGAGCAGAGAGCTCCCCAGTCCCAGCACTCCTCAGATCCTGTGGAGAGCCAGGAGCTATGCAGTGCTGAGACAGGCAGGGCAGAGAACAACCCCATCCTGGCACAGGACTGGGGATAGACAACTCCCCTGTGTCCTGTTTCCCTCTGGTGGTGTGGCTACATGAACACTACTGCAAAGTAGGGCTGTGCAAAATGGCACTGTTCCATTTCGACTTCAGTTTCGAGGTTTGGATGAAACAGTGTTCTGTTTCAAATTCCATCCTGAGTTGAAACAGCTGTTCTGTTTCACTTCATCAAAACAGCGAGGCTGTTTTGATGCTGTTTCAATGTTTAGCCCGACCATCAGGCTGGGGAAAGGAACTCAGTTCAGCTGGGCTGAGTTCCCAACCCCAGCCCCACTATCAGGCTGGGGAAATGAATTCAGCCCAGCTAGGCTGAGTTCATTTCCTCAGCGAGACCTTCATGCTGGGGAAAGGAACTCATCCCAGCTGGGCTGAATTCCCAACCCCAGCCCCACCATTGGGCTGGGAAAATTATGGTCGCACTGAGGAAACGAATGCAGCCCATCTGGGCTGAATTCATTTCCCCAGCCTGATGGTGGGGCTGGAGATGGGAACTCAGCCCAGCCCAATCTAGTGCAGGGGATGGGAACTCAGCCCAACGGGGCTGACTTCCCAACCCCAGCCCAATCTAACGCGGGGGATAGGAACTCAGCCCATCTGGGCTGAGTTCCCATCCCCATCCTGATCATAGGGCTCAGTTCCCCTCCCCAGCCTGATGGCAGCACTTGGGAGAGGAACTGAGCCTGCGGTATGATTGGCTTTCCACAGCCTGGTGGCAGGAGACAGGGAGAGCCAGGGCTGTGCTCCTGGCTGCTGCTGGGAGCACAGCCCTAGTTCTTTCCTGTCTCCCACCATCTCATGGCTGGCTGCTTTGAAACTCAAATGTTTTGAAACTTTTGAAAGGTTTCAGCTAGCCTCATTTTGTTTCGAGGATGTTTTGAAGCCCTTTGTTTCAATTCAATTTTGCTGTTTTGAGCTTGAAATGAGTTGAAACAGTGTTGAATTGAAACAGCCAGTGAAATTTCACACAGCCCTACTGCACAGTAACTATTGTGTAGTTAATCTAGTACCTGTATTTACCGGTATTAGCTAACTGCACAGTAGACTGATTTACTACTCTCTCATTCTGATCTCATGGATCTTGAATTCTTTCCTACACAATGCCAGAGCTTTAAAAGATAGGTTGGGAGGTGGTTAAGATTCAGTATGGGGCACAGGACATCTGGGTTTATATCTCTTCAGAGAAAGAAATACATTGAACTCAGGTCTGTCCAAATCCCAAACAAGAACTCTAAACATCATGAAAAATGAAAGCAGTAGCAACCACTACATTTTATTAGAAAGTCAACCCAGTTGGTGCATCATAGGGGATTAAGGGCATTTCTACACCATGGCAGCAGAGAGTTCAGTCTTGCCTCTGAGGAAATAAACCTCACCCACTTACACTTGCTCCACACATATCAACCCAGGAAAGGAGGAAGCAAAGACTTCTCAAACATGCTTTAATTCCCTATTCTTGAGAACAACAGAAACCCATGTCCTAACAATGCACCCTCAGGGCACCCACAACAACTTCTGGGTTTCATGTGCTTAAAGGAGAAGTGGGTAGGCAGGGCTTATTTCCACAGCAATGTGACTGAGCTCTCTGCTAACCTTTAACAAAGGATTACCTGGTTTCATTTTTCCCAAATGGGCTTAGATGTGAGATGGGTCTTGAGCTGCTCAACTCCATCAGGACCAAGGTACTACTGAACATGCACAGGGGCAGTACTGTTGGCACTTGTGGAAACTTAAGGTAAAAAAAAATGTTGTCTCTGGTGTTAGGTTGGAGTTAAGTGGGGATTTCAGGATCGTTATATTGGATTTAGGTACCAAAATTCTACCTAGGTCTCGATTGAGACTACTAAATCTTTTGAATCTTCCCTGTTTTTCTGGACCATGTCCTCTGCCTACTAGGATGTAGCATACTACTGGATATGAAGGGAAATGACAAAACCTGCTTACCAGTGAGAAGGTTAAGGGGTTATTAATTCCCAGCCTGTAAGTACATACATGGGAAACAAAACATTGATAAAAAGGGCCTCTTCAGTCTGGCAAACAGCCAATGGATGGAAGGTAAAGTGACCAACTGTGACTAGAAATAAGGTGTACATTTTTTATATTGAGGGTAATTAACTACTGAGACAACTTGATGAGAGCTGCAGTGGATTATTTATCACTGATACTTTTAAAATCAAGATTGGGTGTTCTATTTTTTTTCCTAGAGCAGTGCTATATTTCAAATAAGAATTCATTCAGGGACATCTTACAGTCTGTGTTATAACTGAGGTCACATTAGGATGTCACTGTAGTTCCTTTTGGCTCTATGATTACTGAATCTATGAATGTCACACCAGGTCATAGGTGACCAGGTCTGGGGCCACTTGAGGACTGAGGTGGTGACCAGGGTAAGAAGGAATGAGCAAAGAGTGGGGACAAGCTGGGTAAAGAAGACAGGAAATAGAGCAGAGCACAAGCCAAAGGGAACAGAAAAGCTATCTGAGATCATGTTAAGCCCTGTTACCAAAGTGCTTCCTGTTCCAGGTCAGGAGTTAATATAGGGGAAGTTGAGGGTCAGCTAGCCACTCCACTGTAGGGTGATCATCTTTTCAAAAGGTGAAGGTGGAACACATGCCCCTCTCCTCCCCCCACCACATCTATATGAAGGCTGAGTGGAGCAGAGCAGGGACAAATGTAGGCTGCCCACTGTGGGCAGTAGGGTAGCAGGTCAGGATGAATGGCTATACCGATTAGCCTGAGACCACAGATTCAAGGCCACAGCCTGTTAATGAATCTGTTTTTTAAGTGATTGATAATTTATATTCTTAATAATAATAACTCATTTGCCAATATGAACTTTTTGTGAGTAATTTAAAGGTAGCATGTAATCAATACCTTTTTTTTTTTTTTTTTTGCATGCCATGTGCAAAAGACACGCACCTTGTTTTTTGGAAAGCAAAATGTACAGGAAAAAATTCTACAGTCGTGCCAGACAGTGGACTGCATGCAGCAGATAGCTCACCCGCAGCCAGCTCAATGACTCTTCAGGCCAAAAAAACCCCAGCCACTATACAGTGTTAACTCTTTTACAGCCACTGCCAAATTAGGAGCAGCTTTTGGCTGCTCAGCCAAAAGCTATTGCAGTACAGTGATGGTTGGGAAAGGGTTAGCACTGAACTCCAATGCCCTCGGCTTGCTGACCCAGAGACATGGCAACCATTTTGGCAGCTGTTACAGCACAGCATCTCCATGGGTCTATTCCAAAGAAGAAAAATCAGCTTCCTCACTTTTACTAATACACATTACAGTTAGGGGGGGGGGGGGTGCTGATTTTTGTGAGAGGGGTGCTTTTGATATGTGGGTAATTCTATCACTTTCAGATAGCAAGACTTTCTAAAGAACTTGTATTTCTGACTGTAGAATGCAGGAATAGCCCTCTCCTCTCTAGCTGCAAAACTTTATTGTGGCTTCTGGAGCTCCCTAAAGTCATGTCTGGTTATTCTGGAGAGTACGTTATATGCAAATTTGCAATGCAGGGCATGTTTTAATTTTTGCTGCATGCAGTTTGTGGCACCACAAAGAGGTTTGCGGTGCCACAAACTGCACGCCCCTGCATGTCTGGACACAGCCTATGTGGTTTACAATGCCAGTGATTTCTAATGGCATATAAATATATTACAGTTTAACAAAGTGAGTTTCAGTATGTTTTGCTCATTGAGAAAACATTTCTGGAGTCCAGCAAGAAAGAAATTAAAATGATCTAGGAATTTTTAGTTTCCATACTTAGCTTTTCCAACAACCTATATAACCTGCTTCCTTCTTCCTAACTTTCTTCTAATGAAAAAACAATGGGTTAAAGCATCAAGACATGACAATCTAATTATCTTTCTGTTTTAATAAGAGAATTACCAGAAACCCATTGTTTTTACTTAATATCTTTCATTTCAGAAGCCAAAGGGCCAGTGCAGTAAATGAATATAGTTGACTAAAGGTCCCAAACTATTATATAAACGAGCAATAAGCTAAAATTGTTTTTTTTAATTGATTTCTTCCAAGCAAAATTGTTATGCCCATTTTCTAATCTTTAATTGGATGTCTGAGGTACTACACTGATGTCTTGGCTGACTATCAATTGAATTCTGGTTTGAGTGGTGGTAAAGTAATTATACTATTTGACATAGAGAAGGACAAGCTGAGCAAGTGGCAGGAATTTGAAGTAAAATGCATTGTACATTAAGATTTATTGTGTTGATTGTCACAAGGACATACTTACTGTGGTCCAACTGACCTGCTGACCCAGGTCTGTAAAATACAGGGTAATGATGGAAGAAACTGCCAGGCTTTGAATGCTAACAGAATCCTTCAGATAGGGTCCATCTATAATGACAAGGAGGCAAGAGTAAATGGCATGAATAATACATATCCTTTTAATGACTCGGCACAAAACGCAAGACCAGGAGCTGAACAGCAATTGTGATTTGACTTCCACCCTGTGAACTGTGCTTTAAAATGTAAAGCTACAACTTCCACCCTGGTTTATAAAAGGCTGAATCCCATTTCACTTTCTGTGCTTAAATGACAAAAATGCAGCTTTATAACTAGTTCATGGCACATCCATACATTGGCAAAATAGAATCAACTTGTGCATATTCCTGCCAGCAGGGCCCTCCCATCTCTTAGCCCAACAACTTACAGGTAAGTGCATTTGCTTTGAGAGCAGGAGGCTGGGGTTCTGAGAGGGGGTCCAAAACTCCACCTTTCACTTCCCAGGAAGGAGTGCAAACCACCAGGCCCTTTCTTTACACTTTTGGTCTACAGTAGGGGTATCAAGGATACAGCCCATCAGAGGTGAAGCAAGGGTTCTCAAGGCTGGAGTATGCCTATTACTGTACACTGGTGGCAACAGATGGGAACATGGATGAAGGTAAGAGGGGGCTTACCTTCCCAGCTATTGTTGCCACTGCTGCTAATATTGCTGTAGCAGCAGCATTTCTGCTCAGGCAGCAACAGCCCCATGGCTGACCTTCCTGGGAGTTGAAACTGGTGTCTCATTTACTCATTTCCCCGCTAACTACATATCAGGTGCAAGGCTATGCCTGCTCTGGCAAAGGTTCTTGAGGGCCTGGGGAAACACTATTCTACTTGCTCTACTCCCCTTGGCCCCCCAGATAGATGAATGAGGCACTTCCCTGCCCAGCTTCTATGTGCAGGGCTGCCCAGGCCATGTCACAGACCCCAGGGAGCCATTGTGAGCCCACCCTCTAGTCAGTGCTCAGAGCTAGTGCCTCACTTGTCCTCCCCTAGTTATGCCACTGCAGCCTGTGGGCTGAATCTAGCCCATGGAGCCATGTAATCTGGCTCTTGGACTCCTAGAGGAGTTGGGAATTCAGAGGAAGAGTGAGTAGGGATGGACCTGATGCTGAATGTTGAGGTACAGAGCCCTGTTTGGGGATACAGTTTGACAGCAGCAGGATGAGTCCCATGGCTCCCTGACACAATGGCTCAGGCACCCATGGAAGTTAACACTCAATAACTCAAAATACAAACTCCCTCCACTGTTTTGCTTGAATGTTGGTGTTTTGGATCCGCTCTGCCCCCCCCCCCCCCCGCTATATTGTTTTGGGGGAAACTCCTGTTCTGTTTTTGGCGCCCCCCCCCCCCCCCCCCCCCCCAGCTATATGCTTTTGGGTGAAACTCCAGTGATTAGAAGTTCTGCTTCTCTTTGAGCAAGCACTCATAACTCCAGATCTCTGTGGAAACCTTATCTGAAGTAGACAGACTTATGTCTGAGTACAGAACAGCCTTTCTCACAGTATAACAGAAAAACCTACTTCAAGTCCTAATGAATCCAGTACCTACAGGAAAAAAAGAGAAGATAAAATGGGCCTTGTTTTGTTTTTTGAGGAGGTGTTGAATAAAGCAACGAACTGGGGAGTAGGTGACATGAGCAACTCTATTCCCAGTTCCTCCAATATGTAGCACATTGGGCAAGACATTTCAGATTCCAATTTCACTTTCTAGACTTTGGCTCTTTAGATTGTATATTTTTCAGGGCACAGACTGTCTCTCATTTTGTGTTTGTACAGTGTCTGGCACAATGAGGTTGCTAAGTGCTCCTGCAATACTATTGCTAAAAAAACTGATATAATTCTTTGAACCTCAAGAAAGTCTGACAAGCTTTTTAGAAGAAGGTCTAAACTTTTTTATATGTCATACAGATCAACTGGTTATTAATACTATTATGTAACATATTATTAACATGGGTCAAACAGCATTTGTAAAACTGCATACCAGTACTTTTCCTTTTATCTTTCTGAGTCTCTAAAGAGCTTGCAAACCAGATATGAAAAAATTCTGTGCCTATTTATAATGAATATCATCTTACTCTTTTAATAATCTCATTGATATCAATAGCTTAATAAGTTTTTATTTGAAGGAAGCCATTCTGAAAGATTCCAAAGTACTAATTTGTCTAGAACAGGTTTTAGGCAAGTCATAAACAAGAACCATATTCTATTCACCAGATATGCACAAATATTCCTTTCACCTCAGTAGGAGTCCCTTATGGAGAACAAGGATGTCTGCTTTGGATCTTTCTTCTTCTATAGTTTAGGGGTGGAAGCATAACAAGATGTTCTCAACTTTGTCCATCAGTTGTTAATGCTTTTGAACAGAATCAACCTATTTGATATTCTATGCAAGAATATTCAAAGGCCACCATTTGGGCTGAAGTCAAGTGGATTGCCACAGCCTTGGGGTAGTGGGTAGCATAGTCAATGAGGAACAGGATGAACCAGAATCGTCTTGAGCTGGGGCCCAGGGGTCCCATCAACTTCATTCCAGCACATTCAAAGGGTATGCCGACTAGTGGAACGGGTACCAGCAAGACATTATGAGCAACCCAAGGTGCAACCACCTGGCACTTGGGACAAAACACACACTAGTCTTTGATTTCCTGGTATACCCCAGGCCAAAAAAACTTGCCAGTACTCTTTCTTGGATCTTTTCCAACCCCAAATGGTTCTCCCAAGATACATCATGTGCCAGTTTCAAAATCTGGCCCCAGTACCTTTTCAGGACCAACAGCTGAGAGTGCCAGGCCTTGTCTTTGACCTTGTCTTTGGCCACCCTCATCAGGAGGTCCCTCTGAAATCAAGACAGGAGCCCTGGCCTGCTAATCTTGCATTCACTATGACCCCTTCCTTGGCCTGTCCCAACTGGCCATATAGAGGGGCATATACTGGATCCTGCCTTTGTCCTGGTTGAAATCTTGGTCTTCCCCCACCTGATTCAGCCCTCTCTCCCAAAGGGCTCCAAAGATTCCCTGACCCTCTGCTTCCTCTGGAGTGGGGCCCGTACTGTACTGACCCCTGATCCCTTTCCCTAGGCACTCCTGTTGTCTGGAGAGGGCCTTCTGTCCAATGCACCAACATTTTCTGAATGACCTGGGCTGAGGCCCAAAGAGCTCAGTGTTTAAAAACAGAAAGATCTCCCCTATCTCTGATTTGGTGGGGTTGTGGTCTGTCTCACTTGTATCCATTTGTTTCACCACCCAGATCCACTTAGCTATCAAGCCCCAGCCTTGCCCCACCACCACAGGGGAAAGCTATGTGGCTGGCCACTGAATCCCTTACAGGGTCTTCCTGTCCCCTGATAGTCTGGTTTAGGCAGATTATGGTCTAGGGTGAGGTATCCGCATTAATGCATGTGAAATACATACATTCCTCTACCAGGATGTCTGCTGGGTTCACAAATCACTCATGTACAAATGTCTGGCACAAGTTAGAGTCTATGAGCCCAATGACATGGACCTCCCCATTTTTTACCAGGATCACATATCCCCTCAGGTGTGGGTCCTTCTGCTTTGCCTCTGAGACATAGGTTTGAGTGTACACACGGTCCATTTGTGGGTAGTCCCAAAATCAATGTTCCTTCTCCCTGCATTGTAGGCATATTATTTTCATCTCTCTTCCTCCTCCTGGGTTGTGGGGATGCTTTAGGTGGCTTTCTTCTCCAGAAGGATAACTCAAGGGCCCTTGTCCTGGCTGCAGTCTCAGACACAATGGAGGTAATGCCTCTACTGGGGGACTTCCTAGAGACCTGGGCTGCTTTCCCTGTAGTCCCAACTTACTCAGGCCTGGAAGCTACTGGTTCCTCCAGGGCTCTTGACACTCTAACTCTGCTACCAAGAAGTCTTCTACTTTTCACGTAACCTCCTCCAGGCTAACCACCCAATGCTGATACACCCATCTCTGGGCCTTTGCTAGTAGAATGCAGCAGAAGTGTTTGAGGGTCCCTGGTTCCACAATCTCCACAGTCAACCAGAAGTCTGGGTTTAACCAGCTGGTACACAAGTCCCTTAAGTTTGGGGCCAGGGCTTTGGAACTTTGTATCCCAAGACTCTGATCAACACTTGTGCCAATACGCTTCCTTCATGAGACCCAACTAGTTCAGTATGGCTGATTAAAGAATACTGTAGTCCTTGGCCAGCTCTGCTCCTAGAGCCTTGTAAGTCACCTGTGCCTCCCCAATTAACAGAGGGGCCACCCTCACAGCCCATATTTCCTGTGGCCACTGAAAGGTCTCCACCACCCACTCAAAAGTCATGAGGAAAACTTCTGGGTCATCTTCAAGTCCCATCTTGGGGAGGACTCCACCCTCTATCCTTTGGGATCCATGTGACTCACCAACTTGGGTGGGAGTCTGCCTCCACTCCAACTGATATCTCAGGAACTCCTGCTGTTGTAGCTGCTGGTCTCTCTGGAACTGCTAGAGTTGTTGGTTCTGCTTCTTCTAGAATTGCTACTGCTAGAGTTGGAACTGCTCAAACAGCTGTTGTTGTTGCTGCAGCAGGCCCTCCAGCCATTTTATTAGGAGTCCTGTTTCCATTACTGGAGTTGGCTTTAGAATACCCATGATCTCTAACCACATGCAGTGGACTGTCACTGTTTACAACACTATTTTATTTTCCTTGGGTTACACTTGTCCTCACAGGAAACACCATAATTACAAAACAAACACATACATAGATTCATAGATGTTAGGTCCTGGAAGGGACCTCATGAGATCATCAGGTCCAGCCCCCCTGCACTTAGGCAGGAAGACTGCTGGGGTCAGGTGACCCCAGCAAGGTGCACATTCAGTCGTTTTTTTAAGATCTCCAGGGTAGGTGATTTTACTACCTCTGTATGGAGTCTGTTGCAAAATCTGGACACTTGAATCGTAAATATTTTTTTTTCCTTATGTCCAATCTGAAGTGATCTTCTAGCAGTTTTTGTCCATTGTTCTGTGTCTTCCCCTGCGGTGCCTTGGTGAACAGATGTACAGGGTTCCAAGGTCCCAGGCCCTGATGTATGCCCCTTATATATTTATAGGCTGCCACCAAATCTCCTCTAAGTCTCTTATCCAGGCTGAACTGTCCCATGTCTTTCAGCCTCTCTTCATATGGCTTGATCTCCAGAACTCTAATCATATGTGTGGCCTTCCTTTGGATTCTCTCAAGCTTCTCCACAACCTTCTTGAAGCGCAGCACCCATAACTGGGTGCAGTACTCCAGCTATAGTCTCATGAAAGCCAAGTAGAGCAGAAGGATGGCATCCTTAGTTTTACTTGAGATGCATCAGTAAATGCATGCCAGTTTTTTATTCTCTTTGTCAGCTACGGCATTGCGTTGGTGGCTCATGTTCATTTTCTGGTCTATCACAACTCTGAGGTCTCTTTCAGATGTCGTGTTCGAAAGTGTAGCACTGCCAAGCCTGTAAGTATGTTGCAGATTATTCTCCCCAGATGGAGCACTTTACATTTCTCTATGTTAAATGTCATCAGGTTTTGATCCACCCTCCTTGCAAGTTTGTCCAGGTCAGCCTGTATCCCCAGCCTGTCCTCTAGCATGACCACACTCCCCCATAATTTAGTGTCATCCACAAACTTTGCTAATACGCTTTTAACACGAATCCAAATCATTGGTGAATATGTTGAAAAGCGCTGGTCCGAGTAGTGAACCCTGAAGGATGTCACTGGTCACCTTACACAATGTCAACTCAATTCCATCTAATTATATTCTCTGGGTCCTACCTTGGAACCAGTTTCCTAGCCACTGTACTGTAACATTGTCAAGGCTGCAATTTCTCAATCTTACCATGGAGATGTCATGGGAGACTATGTCACAGGCCTTTTTAAAATCCAAGTATATGACATCAACCTCAGCTCCCTTATCCAGGTGGTGAGTAACCTGATTGTAGAAGGAAATGAGGTTGGTCAGGCATGACCTGCCTGCAATGAACCCATGTTGGCTGTCCTTAGAGTACTGCCTTCAATTAGCCTATCACTAATGGATTTTTTGATCATTTTTTCTGGGATTTTTCCAGGGATTGAGGTCAAACTGATTGTCCTATAATTCCCTGAGTTCTCCTTTCTTCTTTTCTTGAAGACAAACACCACCCCCTTCCAGTCTTCTGGGACCTCTCCCAAGTGTCATGAGTTCTCAGGAGCTTTGCTATTGGTTTCACAATGTTGTCAACCAATTGTTTCAGCACCATCAGGTGTAGTTCATCCGGTCCTGCTGACTTGTAGCTATTCAGCTTCTCTAGCTGTTCCCCCACAAGATCTTCACCAACTATGGGTGGGTGATCACCCGCATCTTGATTATCTTGTATCCTGTCAAGCAAGCTAATACCGTTAGACTGGTGAAATACTGATGTGAAGTATTTGTTTAGGAGTTTGGTTTTCTCCTGAGTATTGGTTATCAGCTATCCCATTTTGTTCAGCATGGTTAACAATAAAGGGTTAACTCATACCTACTAGTCCTTTCCTGGAACCTGAGAAAGTAATTTTGAATATGTTCTGTGACTTCAGTTTTTCCTTTTCTCCCTTCCTTGGGAGCTTTTAACTTCATTTGGGCCATCAAATCATTCCAATCCTCCTAGACAGGCAGGAAATCTTTTTTCAACTTCCTGCAGCAGGGCTACAGCCCCTGAGCCCTGCACCCTGTTACAGAGGCAAAGAAAAAAAGAATCCCAGTCAAGCATTCTTCAACAAAACTGAGGAGAATAAAAGCTATAGAAAAACAAGAATCAGTGAAGGCAAAACCAGGACGCAACTGCAGGGTCAAAGGTTAAAATAAAAAAGTTCATAAGCCAGTGAATTCAGGATAACACATGCTGTTCCACAAGGGATTTAGAGAAGTCAGTGATTGAAGGGCTTGGACTATTTGAATCTCAGATGTTGGGACTAGACCCACAACCAAAGAGCTACTCCTGCAACTGAAACTCAGGAAATGATGAATTGTGAGGGACAGCAAACCAAAAAAAAAGCAAACAATAGGAATTGCGGTGAGGGTCTAAGAATGGGGACATAGAGGAAAGAATGACAGACCACAGCCATTGCTCTGTGAAGGAATTTAAAGAGTTATTCAAAATAAAGAGATCAGCCTACTCCCATGTGGAGGCATTGATCCTAAGCCTATCCAAAATTAAAGGATGGGACAGCAGAGTCAGGAAGTCTACAGATTCCATAAGGCAGATAATAAAAATGCAGGGAAGGGAGTGTGGTAAATGCAAGGATACCAGATAGCGACCTTGAGCAGAGGATCCAAGAAAGCACGCACTACTTTGCAAAGCACTTAGGGGAATTAAAGTGGTTAAGTTTGAACCCTCTGGAGAATGGATTCCTAGGTTTATCCACAGAACAAGTTCAGAATGGACACAGGTAGTTAAATCTTCTAATATTATCATGTCCTTCAAAAATTATTACAATCATAGTAGGTCAGCCTTCATGGCCCATATAGTCCTTGATTTTTCTGCTAAGACCATCAATAAATATTACAATTTGGATCACATATTCTTTCCTGGTCATGTGTCACAATTTGATCATGTATAAGTGCCAGAGATGCTCCTTATGCAAAGGTTGACATTTTATTGCTCTACATATAACCCCTGGTAAGAGCACAACTATACATACACCAAAACTGGGCATATGCACTGCTGAAGGGGATCACTACTTCCCATCTTCCCCTAGTGGCTAAGGCACTCACATGGGAAGTTGGAGTTTGTAGGCCCCACTCACCAAGAGGGGATTTAAACTTAGTACTAAGCTAGGAAGTCAAGGACACCCAGATTGAAATGCCCTCAGGGAAAAGGGGGGGCAGCGGCTAGAAATCAGCACCCCTAGCTTCATCCTTCCCCCTCCTCCCCTAATGCCCCACCCACTGAGTTCTGATGAGGAGAGGGGAAAGGTAAGAGAGGGACATACCTCCATCTATTTTCTGCTCCTGAGTCTAAGTCTGGTAGCCATGGGTTTCTCTATTTTAGAACATCAAAGTCTTCTACACATTAACAAGGGGCATATATACAGGCTCTGGTTACTACTGCACATAGTCAATCTGTGTGAATACATGGTCGCTAATAGTCATCCATGTGTGCAGGTCTATGTGCCTAGGAATAGAATTCCAGCCTATGTACAGATGGCATTTTGGGCACTTAGATGAGTGAAAATGCCATGTAGATGACATGCTTAGGAAGGAGGCAGAATGCCACCCTTGGTATCAAGAGGTGGGTTTTGCACTGGAAACTGAAAACCAGTCTCCTTTTTCATGTTAATATTTACTAAAAGAAAATTAACAGAATCAACATTATACAATGCACGTGAAAAATCTTCAGTTCTGTTCATCAGTGGGGAAGCTAATTAGATATCCAGACATATTAATTAGGAAAAAAGTTTGAATGGCTTAGCCATTGCATATATACAATGCAATATAATTAGGCAGAAACATCAGAAATAGATTAGAAATATACTAGGAGGTTGTATGACAGAAAAATAACTACTCACTTCGTTCCAGTTGCAGGCCAACCCGGGAAGGGTACCACTGGGGGCCTATTAAAATCATAAAGAATTACATTTAATTTCATGGTATAGCTTCTAAACCTCATTTCTTACTAGTAGCAAGTGTCCTTTTTTGCTGATAGCTAGAACTGTGAGACCATAAAAATGTCTATGTGCTTTAGCTATAAATGAAAAATACAGTAGTAATATGGGATGAATATACAGTGCAATGTATACAGTTAGAAAAGAAATATCCCATCCCCAAAACACTCTGGCTGGCTCTACTGGAATGCTGAATTTACAGTCAGCAGATGAATAATGCAGATTGCAATGTATCAGAATAATCAAATCTTATGGCATAATGGCACTGGGGACTTTGTACATATAGGTTAGTGATAGAAGAAGTCCATCTTTTTGCTGGAACTTGACAGTTTTACCAAATTTCAAATAAAAAGATATGGGTGGACTGGAGAGGGGAGAAGAGGGGTTATTTTCCTATTAAAGCGGTTAGAAAAATGTGTTCTTTCTTACAATGATAAACTGTTAACGTTTCCTCAGCACCCTCAAAAGGATCAACCACTTTGCTTTCAGCCTAAAGGATAATATTGGCCGTATTTTTCAATATGGGGTTCTTCATCTGATCATTATCTGTTTATCTGTCTGTCTGTCTTTCTATTTCTAAGGAAAGCAAACATATTTGCCAAATTTTTCTTTTGTCAGAAATGTAGGTTTCTTTTGTAGGAAAAAAAAAAACATAGCTATTTTAATGAAAAATGTTCATTTAGCCCTTTTTCTCCTCGCCAAGCCACAAACTCAATGTTGGAGCAAAGCAGGAAGTCAGGGTCTGTTTGTTTTGCCCTCTGGCAGGCACAGGAAAGAATTCATATTTATTTTTACTGTAAATTATTTTAGAAGCAGGAGAGACCCTGAGTCCATTTCTTGATATGCCACAATCATTAAGTGCCTCTAACTGCCTCTGGATTCTGTTCCCACAATAAACTTAATTTGCAAGGGAATCAGCACATACATGGAGACACTATAACAGCCCTAATACAGACTACCTCCATATGGATCAAAGATGCTGGGAATCTGAGAAGGCCAGGAATTCTTCTTTTCATGGGGTGCTCACTGTTCTAATGGCTCTTTACAGTTTTTGTTGCCTGGGATTGCTGAAATAACACGCAAAAGGAGGAATGCACATCACTAAGAACAAAGCTGAAGAAGCTGGATGATTAGTAGAGAACTGCTTATTGGCTATGTGACATGGAAGTAATGAATATAATTGACTTTTAAGGATGTGAAATGCCTGCTGTCTCTAAGACAAACAACCAGTACTGGTTTTCATCCAGGGGCAGCAGCTGATTGTTAAAGCTACTTCATGGGTCAGTTAAAATACTGGTGGAACAAAGCAGGAGGCAACTGTGTAGAAAATAAGGTTTTGGGTGAATTGTATTACAACCCTTCGGAATGGAAAAATTACAGTTATCTTGTACAGACAGAACTTTATATCCTGGATAATTTGCTGAAGACATAGCAGGTACCTATACACGTTCCTGCTGTATTGTGTCAGAGCAGACTCAATTAATCAAGTCTGTTGGAGTGTGGTAATTACCAGAATGGTAATTACCATGTTCCTTAGACTCCAGTGCCATGTGTGTCAGTGTCCCCATGCTGAAAAATGGTGGTAGGGGTGCTTTAACTAAAGCTCATTTAACGAGCTTTAGTTAAAGTGCCCCCGCCATCCCTTTTCGGTGTGGGGACATTGATACATGTGATGCTCTGGAGCCGCTCTAATTAAAGTGCCCCGCCTTCCTCCCCCATGGAGCATGTGTATAAGCACTTAGACTAAGAATATAGGTTACTTTAAAAGCATCCACCTAGGTTTAGCCATGGCCAGCTAATATGTTTTGCAGGCCTTCCACCATGGTTACACTTGTGCTCCTGTGTTTTATATACAAATTAAAGACATAGCCAGATTTTTTAAGTGCAAGTTGTTTTCTTGACAAAGTCTTAAGGAATAGAGATGCTTTTAAAAATGCTTGCTTCACTATCAGTATCACATGGTTCCTGTGAAGGGGTTGATTCCTAGAAGGAATATTGACTTTCAATGTGACAAATATTCAGAAACAGACATTCCCACAGACAGGCCTTTCTATAGGTCTGTTATATCTACTGTACATGAGAGAGGCTCAGGAAAAGTTGATATAGATTAATAGATTGTAGAGTTGGAAGGGACCACAATGGATCATCGTGTCCTACCCCCTGCCCCTGGCAGGAAAGAGGACCGAGGTCAGATGACCCCAGCCAGGTGACTGTCTAGCCTCCTCTTGAAGACCTCCAAGCTATGTGATAGCACCACCTCTCTTGGAAGCCCGTTTCAGATCCTGGCCACCCCGACTGTGAAAAATTTCTTCCTAATATCTAACCTAAATCCACTCTCAACTAGTTTACACACGTTATTCCTAGTCACTCCCTGGGGCGCCTTAGTAAACAGCGTGTCCCCTATTCCCCGTTGACCTCCCCTAATAAATTTCTAGGTGGTCACAAGATCTTCCCTCAGCCGTCTCTTGTGAAGGCTGAAGAGATTCAGCTTTCTCAACCTCCCCCCGTAGGGTCTATCATGAAGGCCACTAATCATGTGAGTGGCCCTCCTCTGGACCCTCTCGAGATTCCCTGTGTCCCTCTTGAAGTGCGGCATCCAAAACTGGACACAGTACTCCAACTGCGGCCTGACCAGTGCCGCATAGAGGGGGAGCATCACCTTCTTTGTTCTATTAGTCATGCACCTGCTAATGCATGACAAGGTGCGATTAGCCTTGTTGATGAGGCCATGTGAGCTAATAGTCTGAGAGGAATAAAGTAAAGGGGGAGAATGCAAGCATTATTGTTTCGTTTTTTAATTCATAGCATTGTGGCTATTCAAATTAAATTTGTGAGTTGCTGAGCACTTTGGAAAACCCATCCAGAGTCATACAATTGGCTTTATGTGTTTAGAATATACATAAAAAAAAATCTTTCAGGAAAGCACTTAGAATCAAGACGTACAAGCAGATAGATTGCAGTGAAACAAGTTGTGGATATCTATACAGACATTAGAAAGGAGTATTTCTTGAAAACACACTTGATGGAGAGGGTTTTTTTTTTTTTTTTTTTTTTTTTTGCTTTGGTTTTGGGTTTTGTTTGTTTTTGTTCACTGTCAGAATTCTGTAGCAGAGTAGAGGCATTAGACAATTGCTACTATGCTGCTGGCCAAGATCAATTTCAGCTCTGATTTCAGCAGGTCAAGAAATACCTACAAACTGATGCTTGAAGCACCAGGGAAGACCTATCTATCAAATAAGCAGGTTTTTTGAGGTACCACAACAGACCATGGCTATTAAAGATAAAAAGAAGATAGAGAAACAGCAGCTGTCAGACTTGTCAAGGAGGATATGATTTGCTCCAGGACAGCAGATATCAATAGTTATTTGGGAGACTAAAATGGGATGTACTTGTGTTAAATTGAATTTTTTTCCTCCTTGTATTACAGTATATTTCAATAAAAACCAATTTACCTGATCCTTCGGCAATGTGCTTTGAAGCATGGCTCATAATCTTCAGTAGGGCAAACAGAGGTTGTGCTTTTTGGCATGTAATCTTATATTTCAGTGCAGTAACCCAAGTACACCAAGGCTCTGAAAACAGATCCAAAGAACTAAACCTAAAAGAAAGGCCAGCATTTGATGGGAAACCAAAGGTACAAAGAGTGGTGACCAAAACCTGTGGTGTGATGTTGGTCAAGTCACTGTCCCTTCTCATTGACTCTGGTTTCCATCTCATCTCTAGAACATGTCTACAGAATAAATTTAACACAATAGAGAGCTGTGTACTTAGGCACAATGTGTGAATCTGGCCAGGCTGCTTCTTAAGTTGGAAGCACTATGTCTTCATACAGCTTATGATAAGCTAAATAGCACTGCTGAGTGAAAGAAGATATGTTTACACAAGATGCTTTACTGCACATTAAATTAGTCAAATGTGCTGTTTGCTAGTACCGACATATATAGGTATTAGATAAATGGCATATTAGGTAAGGTGAAGTAGCACACATTTAGATACTGACTGGGAGCAATTTTGCTCATGCTCAGCCCAGGAAGCAGGGGGTCACTGCTGCCTGGCCAAGCCCCAATACAGGGGGAGCTGTCAGGACAGGTTCCAGTGTACATAGGGCCAGGAGACAGGTGCCCTTGCAGCTGGCACAGTATTCCTGGTCCCATGCACATCAGGAACTACCCCCATGTCCCCCTGCCAGCCCGTGGGCTGGCACCCAGGGGAGCCTGGAACTCCTGGCTGCTGCAGGGAGGCAGAGCAGGGCAGAAGTAGCCCTGGACAGGGCTGCTCCCATTGGGTGCAAATCTGTGCCCAACAGGGCACGTGTGTAGATGTGCTCCTGGCCACGGCCATTTCCTATTGCACCTTATTTTACTGCTCAGTAACCTTACTGCATATTCTTTGCACAAGTAGATGTCCACAGAATCAGTTAGCTCACCCTCATGCTAATTAGCTTTCCTGCAGTGCCGTATGGACATGGCTACACTGATTCTGGGCTTAAGCCATCCACAACATACCTGAGGATGCACAGAGCCTCAAACTTTTTTATCTGCTTAATTCTTTGGGCTGGAGACCCTCTCCCACTATGTGTCTGTGCAGTGTTTAGCCTGCTAGGACCTGAATATTGGTTGAGGCTGAGAGGAGTCATGCAACTTGCTGGCATCAGAATGTCCAGTCTTATGCAATTCAGCTCATCTTGGATTCCAACCTAAAAGTAATGACTTCCAGCTTGCATATAAATTGGAAAAAGGTTGTGGTTCAGCTGGGACCTTCTATACTAGGAGTACCCAGGGATCCTGCAGTAATTGGTACTGCCTTCTAGGAAGAATATTGCTACCTCTTCTTCTCCAGTATATACAGAGAGTGAATGACTACCTTCATTCTCCCAACCTTGATAGAGCCTTGTTTTGAAGGAGAAGGGAACATTAGCACACCTTCAAATGCCTGTTTTTTCTACTAGT